AACATTGCATATTCCGATGCAATCTCAGTACATATCAAGTGCAATGTATTGAGTGCGTGAGTTAGTCTCATCGATATCTACTGGAAGCGCGTTTTCAGAAAGCTTAGTGTTTTCTATGAGAGATTCATCGCCCTTTCATACTAGACACGACTGGGCCCTTATGAATGCCTCATTTAGCCTCTATCATGTCAAGAGATTACAGAGATTAGAAATATGTCATAGATGTGTTGGCTAATATTATCGACTTTCAAACTTCTCCTGATACTTAAAAATCTATATTGATAACCTAATGAAATTTGGAGGAAGACCATATTTGAAAACAGCTTGCGAGCGTGATAATGTTCATTCAGATCGTTTAATTCTAAAGAAAGAAAAAAATGAAAAATTATATGTAACTGTAACACGGCCACATGGTCGTTTAAGGCCGCGAGAAGAAAAAATTTTTAATTTGAAGAAGTTACGCTCACTCTGTTGAAAAATAAACAATTATTTGTCAGTCAAAAATGAATGCTTGTTGGACTTGCAGTTTTTATTCTACGATGCAGTCATACGCTCTAATTTTTTTCGGAAGTGTTTGTGTACACTTTTGTAAGGTATTGTTCTAAATTTCATGCTGCTAATAAATATAACTCTTTGTGGAGTATTGTATGGCTACTAGTCGTGGATCAATATGAGAATAACCAGACAAGCAGAGTAAGAATAAAAATAACCGAGTAGTTCCCCAGACCGACTATCTATTAACGTCGGCGTGCTTCAATGAATACTTATTTTCTACTTAAGCCAGACACGAGGTGTTATAAATCCTTACTCAAGCAGCTGACGTTTGAGCAGTCACGCCTTCTAGAACCTAGAAAAATCAAGTGTTTATAATCCGATCAGTCGAACACCTCCACTTACTCTTTTAGAAAAATTTATTAGACCCAGATTTCAGTGTGTTCAAGCACAAAATCAACTCCCAAGAAACTCGACGCTATTTTGTATGCCTTCCATTGAATAATTTGAGTGGAGATCACCGGAAGGCGACAAAATAGGCAAAAACAAACAATGCAGCAAATGGCAAATCAAAGAAAGCAATACAAAAAAGCGGTGAGTACGTTGAGAGTTGATTTTGTGCCTGATGCAATTCAAAACTGGGTCTGACAGTTTTTTTAAAGGAGTAATGGAGGTGTGTGACTGATTGGATTGTGAACGCTTGATCTTTCTAGGCTCTGAAGAAGGCGAAACAGAATTAGCTGTTTTAGTAAAGATTTACAGCGTCGCGTGTTTGGTTTAAGAACAAAAATTGGTAATTACTATGATCGGATAGCTTTGCCAGATAAGCCCAAGATATGTACCACGACGCGCACCCACCACAACAGGTCCCAGCAGGTTATTGGGAAGCCGAGACGCGGCTCAGCAATCAGTGTCCTCCAAATAATCACCCACCGAAAGAGTCAAAGTCACCAATGTGAGAATTCGCTTAGAATAGAAATCTCTGGAAGAAACGTCATTAACTCTTAGATAGCACATCATTGATGACCAGTCCTCATTTGATACAAACAATGATCTCTAGCCTTTTTTAAAATGGGCTGTATCACTAAAAATGGAATTCGTTATCTTTTATTTGAATTCAGTACATAATCTTAGGCACTTATAAGCAGACACATCAAAGGGAAAAGCTCTCGGCGTTGATTATTCCCTGAGGGATGCAACATGCATAAGCCTTCAATTTTTTGATTTCGTTTGAGGTATACCTGGCCTTTACAAAGACTCGCGATGGCCTTTCGGCGTATCGAGCCACTGCTGCTATCCTCTCAAATAAGTCTGCGATCACGCTCATGCACACAAGCATACAAATGAGAATTTGAAAGTAGTAGGCAGAAAGAAACTAACAAGTTATTTAGGCGGTATAATATCAGATTGCATTTACATTATTGAATTATCGACTGCTGGTGCAGAAGTTTGTAATTTCTATGCGGAAATTTTTGCGTCATTTTGCTGTCCTATGTGATTCGCTTTGGTGCACTGGTTATTTCTCTCTAGAAATCAAGAGCTCATTGTGAGCAGACTGAGGTCAACTGTGCATTGTGACCTAACTTGTGCAGGTTTCTTTCTGTGCAACTGTACGTCTCTGCTGGCTTTCTATTTTCTAAACATCATTCGCTCTAAGAGCTGTCCTACATTTGGCCGATTGTTGTTGAGGATTGATCGTTCACTTTTGCAAAGTTCAGCTTAACCCATGATGTTCGGACAACGTCAACGTTGGTCTCGGACTGGACAGGAAAAGCAGAAATATAGACGCAAGCATTCACTGCAATTCAATAAGTTGACTGGTGAAATTTGTTTCCAATAGAAACGAGGCAAAAACTTAGAATTCTCTGATTCAGTCAGAAGATTCAGCCGCAACACAACTTAAAAATCAGTGGAAGATTGTAAAACAAACATCTAAAAATAGCAGAGGAACATTCCAAACCGCTTCCTGATTTACTCTTCCATCTCAATCCGATAAATCCTGATGACTTTTCAACTAATGCTTTAGTGGTTCGTAATTCTATGGTTGTAGCCAACTTCCAGAGTATTAGGAATTTCCGGACAAAATAAAGTTTAACATGAGCTTGGATGGCCTAAAGAAATTCTTTTCCAAGAGTCGGAATCAGATAACCGTGAGCGCCCCAATCTGATTCTAGAGCCCATGTCACTATTGTAAAAACAGAGGGCTGGAAGAACTGTTGATTTGATAAGGTGAGCATGGAGTTTAGGATTTGCTGTTTGCTCGATGCCTCATCTGGGAGGCCCGAATGCAACTCCTGCTGCTCTCTTTCTTCTTGCTAATTCTTCATCATGTTGCTCATCATGTTTATTGAACTTCCGAGGTACAAGAACTAGGTAGAATTCGTGATTAGAGAACCATCCAGCTCATTTTGTTCTCACGAAGCCACTACCAGTGATTACTTAGTAAATCTATATATGCTTTTTTCACTACACTGCATCTTGAACATGGGCTTAGTTGGAGAGCAAAATGATTTTTGACGTTTCCGTTTTAATCGTTGTTCGTCGAACCATCGTTTATGATGCCTTATTCTAAGCTCTCCTGCAATGTTAGAAATATCAAGCCTTCTTTCTAATTCCACGCTTTCACTAAACACTTTCACACAAATGAGACCATAGTTACTAATTTTGTAGTATGAGTGCTTAACACTGTTCTCAGGATTGTACTTTGAAAAGCACACTACAAGTTAGCAGTAGTTTCACACAAAGTGGAAATGCAAAAACGATCTCACGGTAATATGAAGGGAGAATTAACGATTTCACTTCAATATGAAGGGAGAATGCCGTTATTGCAGATTACCTTGGAGCAACTTTGACCCCTAAGGGACGACGTGTACCAACCAAAGCACACATTTGTTTGTAGGCCTTTCTCGCTGGGCAACAGTTTTCTCTCAGACATTTGATGATCATTCGAAGCCCCAGTTTTTGTGATTTCAACGATATGTCTGATTTTAGAAAAACCCTTTTTATTACGTCGTAGCAGAGGAAATAAAATTATGCTCCATATTCAATTTGCTTCACTTGCTCCGCCGGGACTTCGGTATAGATGCTTGCCAGAGTTTTACTAGTTGTTCAAGAGCTCAAGTTCTCAGGATTTTGATAAAGTAATTGGTTTTTGGGAAAGCTATCATAGAGTGCTACAAGAGCGAAAAAAAAAGTTTGCATTTCACGTCTAAAATGTTCCCCGGCCACTTGAACGTCATAGCTTGCTTCTTGGTAAAGTTTGCGGGTCAGATATCTTATCGTTACATAACGAATGGTATAACACAAATAAAATCCTTACAAAGGATTTTTGATATAAAGAGCAATTACTTCTCTTGCAGTTTACAATGTTTCAGCTGCAATAGCGCTTCTTTGTGGAAAATTAAACAAGCTCTAAACCCTCACTGTTCATTTCTATCGCCTTGTTCGAGAGAACGTAGCTTGAAAGGAGATCTTCTACAGCTAAACACCTCTAATAATGATCTATGTGAAGGCAACTCTAGTATGTATTTGGAGTAAGTGTAGGAAGAGTGCACGTTCATCATTGCGGAGAACACGATACTTCTTCCCATATTAGCACCCATACTCAAAAAACATTTTTTTGCCCTCCCCAGACATTGTGGTAGTCATTCGATAGCGTATGTCGGAAATTTGAAAAGTTCATTTTTATCATGAAAGGCCTTTACATTACACTGTGGCAGTGAAAAGAAAATTTTTTTACATCAAAGCGATTTTTGCTGAGTGAAGCTTCTCCTCAAAAAATTCAGTGATTATTCAATAACACAAGTTTCGAAAAAGTTGATAGTGTTCTTAGTTTCTGGAAAAAAAAAACACTTTACTGCGCTCTAACACTGACATTATGATTCCATTCAAAAACGGCGCGCATACCTTGTATGCACTTCGAAACATTGGTATCGAACCATCGCCTTTCTTTCAATAACCGGTCGATAGCTCGAACATCGAGAATTTCACTGTTATGCTTTCCTTTAGAAAAAACAGCATTCCAGCAATCTGTAACTACAGGAATAAAACTGTATAGCGTGTTTGAATACTATTCTCTAGACGCGGCTTTTCTCCCAGATTTCCCTACCCATTCGGTAGCGCAAATCTTAACGATTTCCATAATGTGCTTGACTTCTGAGAAAGCCTTTCTAGTTCCTTTCTAGTTCTAGTCTGTTAACATGATAACATGTTTGCATTTGTCACCGTGTATGCCTACCCTTTTGGGAAACCGATTGCCACACCGTGTCTCGGCTTATTGAGGCTTAATGTTTCTGATGCGCGCTTCGACATAAATCGTAAAAATTTAATAAATCGGTCAAATTTCCTTGTCCTATACGATTGCTCATACATGTCCTGTTATTAGCAGCTATATAATACTATATATATATATATATATATATATATATCTTACATGAATATATATGTACATATATACATGACATACCCAATAATGTGAATAAGCGTAAAGAGAGTGCTGTGCAAAACGAGCGTCGGTGGTGCAAACGGTTAGCATACACTACCAGAAAAAGTGAGATACGGGTTCGAATCCCGGCTGACGCAAATGTTTGTGCACAGCACTCCACATTATTGGTGTACTGTAACATCATATCACCTCAAGTGGTGGTCAAATAAAAAGAATTCTAAATCATGATCTTCGAAATGGCTTAACGTTATTACTGGCTGTATATAGAATTTATATCTAATAGGAGCGTCCAATTTATGTAAGCTCTTCACAACAATGTATTTAAACTTTTCAAAGAAGGATTTGCAGCGTCCACTTGCATCGCAATTTTTATATATCTGTGCAAAGAGTAATATCATTTACAACAAGAACTTAATTACTTCCTTGTTAGTTAAAAAGCTTTGGCGCTGCTCTCACTACATCTAGCCTAAATGGAGCCTCCTTAACAATATCCTATCGTTTAGTGATCACAAAACTACCTTTAGCAACAATATGATCTAATTTCATTAAAAAACCAGAACTTTGTCACTGAGCTCTCCTTGTCACCTGGTCGACCGTGACGCGGGTCACACGACAAATCAACGTGCGTGGCACCAATTGAGTTAAACATCGCAACTGACTGGATATCTGCCCAATTCAAAGATTTAGTTAAGTTGCCAACGGTTCAAATCTATGTTGTTGTCCTTCTTAGCAGCTGCGTAAAGAGACTGCTAATCCGGTGTGATGAAAGAATTCGTATTCGGAGAGCCGTATCAAAGCAAAAATACGTGTATTACACAGAATTTCTAACGACCACGGTGTACTTTCACATATAGTTTGTATTATGCTCTTCTCCTCTGTTAAATATTTAAATCGAGTGATTGCGAAGCTTACGAAAGTTCCAGAAGTTGCGTCAGACTTTTATTTTAACAAGAACATAAGAATTTCGGCAAACAATTTGTTCTTACTTTTGACCAGAACAGCATAAGGTGCCTAACAGAAAGTGGCTAATGACGCTGGTGCTCTTGTTATCATACACCTGGACATGAAAATTGAATTTTCTGAGAAATCAGCGATCTCAAAGGGACATTAAAAAGACGTCGATTGATGACAGCGCCAACAAATTTCATCATCTAGGCCCCGGCATAAGCTAAGTGAACACCTTCAAAGTCTCATTGGTGGCAGCTGTGAAGACATTTTATAGAATGGGATGGAACCACTTCGATAGTTACTCAATAGCAGCTTCTGATAGTTCGTATAGCAGAAAGAGAAAAAGCGGATCAAAAGCTTTGATAGTGCACTGACTACGAAGCTCGTTTAGTAAGTAAAAATGCAGGTAAACTCTCGCCTGAGGCTCTCAGTTTCATCTATCACTCACCTAATTTGATATGCTGTCATTGGTGACTTCAACGTCAAAAGTGAGCCCAGGAAAATTTCCGCAATTCATGGTGTACCACAAAATAGAATGAGAATCAGCAAGAAGAGGGCTGCATGAGCTTATGAAGTGGTGGAAATCCTCAGACTAGAAGCCCATCGTTTGCTCATATTTGACGGAATCAATTTATGACATATTTGAGAATTAGGCATATTTTGAAATCTGTTTCAAGTTTCCCTTTCCCCATTTGCACCATGAGTGCCTGGGGAAACAAGGGAAGTAAGCATAGCTATAAAGCGTTGCTCAAAAAGGGCCTTTCGAGTAATTCAGTAGCACTGATTGAAATATCAGCAACTATTCAGAGGTGTCGGTTAGTTTATATCATATTGTACAACTGTCTACGGGAAAGCCGAAATTTTATAATTTGCCTTAAGGACGAAGAATGGGTTTGCATAAGCTCGCATACGGTGTACTATCGCTCGTAAATTACGAGTGGGCGAATAGGCTGATGAAGTGAGTAGAGCACTATAAGTCCAATTTAGATCGACTGCTGTCTGTGAATTTTATCCTATTCGTGAAAACCGTTCAATGATTTTCAATTCAATTCTCCCTAATGCACTGAGACAGTGCAGTTGAAGCGCTTCCGCTGGGACTGCAGGAAGCACGCCTTTCCAAGTCATTATAAAACTAAAATCTTCACCTAAGGGATGAGAGAAGGAATGAATTTCTGTGTCGTCGTACTAACATCGTGCATGTGATGGACTGTATTACTACCACTGCGCTGCCATCTGCCTGCTCTAAACTTAATCAACCGGATGTGTCGGAACGACTTTTGTAAGCGTCGTAAGCTTCGTGCTATGTGATAGCCTTTCTCCTCTTGTATTGGTATTATTTTCCCATTTCCAGTATTCCACTCATACTATGCAGTATTATTGTTATATATTATGCGATGTATTATATATATTATATATATATATATTATGCGATGTATAATATATTATTGTTATATATTATGCGATTTGTAGAAACATTTACCAGAACAAACTCGCATAGGAAAGCCCTTATTATAGCAAATCAATCATCACAGGGCAAATCGAAAAGGTCTGACCCTTTCTGACTCCTTTCAATCACATATTTGCTTAGCTAGTTATTGTTCAAATATGACACAATTTCCCATATTCATCATTCTATCACAAATAGAAAATAGGCTGCGAACATGCAATCTATTAATGAATACGTAAGCTGCTGTCCTCCCAGACAATTATGATCTTCCGATCCATCAGAAATAAAAGCTTGGTGCCTATGGGACGCGGGAGCAGACAACAACCTTTGATTCTGAAGCTCGTGCCGCCGTACAATGGCGAAGTCAAGTTCGACAAAATCAAATGACTTGTTGCACTCGTCCCGTTGGAACTTTCAGAAATTGATGCCGTTCTCACGGTTTAGAAGTGAAGTTGCATTCCGTTAATATATACTTCATGGGAAAAACTAAATATGTTTCCTAATGTTGATATTTGATAGGCGATCTGTTATTTCCTCATGCAGCAGCTAAGTTTCCTGCATTGCAAGCCGTTAGAATCGTGCCACTTTTTGGGTATGGGAGGACAAATGGATATCCGACCTCATTCGTTGGGCAGAAACTTTTCGTAGCAGTGTTAGTGACTTTTCAAGATCTCAAATCTTTGGCTACTGCCATACATGGCTGTTTTCTAAGAAAACCTTTGTGTAAAGCTGTAGCATTCAGGATAAGATTATGCCTCACACACCTCACACTTTTGATTTTTCCTTCACTTATATTCTACTGGACAAAACTTTTTCAAATTCGTGTCATCCCCCTGCGCCCCGTCCCCCAACCCATAGATTACCCAAAAAAAAACATGCTGGTGTGTGAATTAATCTGCTGCTGTACTGCAGAGAAACGGTTTCTCTAGGAAAAAAAAAGCATAACGTTGGAATCTCTAAATCCGGCGCTATCAGAAATTGGTAGTCTGAAGAAGGAGCTCAGGAATACAAGAAATTTGTGCAGATAAAATCACAAAAAATTTCCATTCGCTGAAGAGTTATAAAAAACTTCATCAGAAGCAGCCGCGTATCGCGCTATTTAAAGATTTAAACATTCGAATGGTCATTAGCGGCCTTATGAAAAGTTTTTGTGCAACAAGAGAGATAAATTTCTACTTTCTGCTATCAAATGGAAAAGACACAAATTTGTGCAATTTCAAATATATCATCATGCCCTCGAGCTGTCTTCGGCTGTAGTCTCCTCCAGATTATGTTGAGAAATGTACTAAGATATTATACCTTTCTTTCGAGTGATTTATTAAGACCGCGCTCAAATTCCAACAGATCCTTTCATTATTATTTGAGCCATCTTGTCATGTGGTCTGGTAAGGGCTCTTGTACAGCTCGATACACGTGTTTCGTCCTTACAGACTCGTCAGTCGCTAAGCTCCCGAGAGAACTGATTATGAAAATATCGAAAGACGACGAGATCTACCCGACTGACGAGTCTGTAAGGACGAAACACGTGCATCGGGCTGTACAAGAGCCCTTACCAGACCACATGTACTAAGATAATTTGTCAAAAGCATAAGAAAAAATCACAGAAGGTGACTTAAGATTATCGCAATTTTTCTTGACGTGACATGTGTAACCTGAGACATCCTTGGTGGCCTAACCGCGCCTAGCGTGTTTCGGCATAAAATTTTGAAATTAAACTTTGATTCCATCATGCTTTCAGTAGTTTTTGGTAGATACTAGCTTACATAGGTAGCCTATTGCAATTATTATGTGGAAAAGATTACATTTAAAGATCCATTTTACTTCAAGAACGATTTCGATCCATAAAACGTTGCGAAGGCAGAAAATTCACGGATGGCGATCAACTTGCCAAGCCTTGCCAATGGCTATCTCATAGTTTCGAGTGCCAGCCAATCCTCGACTCTCCATCATCACAATAGATTGAGTATTCCTATTTCTCTCCAGTTGATAGTGTTTCAACCTATGCATTGAATAGATTGGTAGCACAACCATAAAGATCGGAGCCGTCTAAAATAATATGGGTCTGAGAACTAATTGGTAATTTCATCTTTTCTTTACTGTCAGCCGAAAATTCTTACATAACACATTTGACGAACGGAAAAGTACAATTTTCTGTCATTTGGAAACAGCTGTGGACCATACACTCTAACTAAGACGCCGCTAGCAGCGTAAAAAGCGAAGAACAGCCTGAAAACATTGCAAGTTTGTGCACAATTTGAAACTTTATCTTTTAAAGTAAGAACAGAAAGAAGTCTACCATTGGAACGCCTCATGCTGATATATCTTTGAACGCCCACCAAAATTGTGATTGAGTTTCGGTGATTTTTTTTGATGGCATTAGAAACGCAAAATGGACTATGAGAGAGGAAAAGGCTATATATACCAAGATAGACTACGCTTGGCATGTTGGGTGAAGGATGAAAAGTATCCCACAAACTGTCCTTTTGTTCAAAGTTTGTGAGAGTATAGTCGACGTTTTTCCAAAGTCGATGCCCGACGTTACGGACTTTGCCTTCTCCACTGGGGTTTTTGAGGTGTCTCACATCTATCTTACATCTAACGAAATAGCTCCGAAGATCAAAAAATTATTGAAATGTCAGCCATCGATTTTGAGAAAGACTTGTATAATTACAAAAAGTTCAAACAAAAGACATTTCGTAACTTCTCAAAATTATCACCAATTCCAAAATTGACATGAAGCCG